CAGTCACACACGCACACACACCTCATTGTGATAAACCACATTCTGTTGACAGAAGCTGACTCTATTTTAGCCCCCTCTTGAGAAACTTTGTACATACAGAGAGTGAGGTGAACATCTTTATATAAAAATGAAGAAATAAAGGCTTTACAGGTGCTAACCGGCACCAGGAACTGAGAACAGTAGCAGAAAGTTTGTACGTTTCCACAATGAGAAGCATTTCTAGCAGAGACGGATCTATTGCAGGAACACGAGAACCAGACAGTGAGAAAATCTTACTTAAAATTATTTTTAATTTTGTTCCATAAAAGATGGAATGAAAGATAAACTGATGGATCATAATTTGTAATGAATTCAATGTAACTGGACTGGATTACAGCACAAACCTCAACAATGAACATTATTAATATTTTTTTTTTCATGTTACTGCTCAGCTGGATATAAAACTGCACTAATAAAAGTACTAGTGCTAGGACCGATGACCAGAATCAAACCTGGTACTAACATCCATCCCTCAGATCTTGGAACATGCAGACAGCACTGAGTAACATCTTGAATCTTTCCTTGAGATTTGTTCACAAATAGCACATTTGTATAAGAGTTGCTGTGACACATGTGGTCACAGACTCCAGCGTGGAGGAACACGGACCAGCCTAAAGGCAGATTAGAGACCGCTGACTTGGCTGTCATCCTCTGATCTGCTGCAGTGCATCCAACTTTTTGGTGCCCAATTTATTTGTTGTTACAGGCACAAAATCAACACTGGCTGTCACATGATTGTTTCTCTCCTGTCTCTACTGGTCGCCCTGTGCAGTGACACGCTGCCACACACACACAAATACACATAGTTTCAGCGACAGTGGACACACCTGTACTGTCAGACTTGTTGAAATCATAATTTTGTTCTCACAAACCTGCGTGTCTATTTGTATAGAGTTTAAAGTTGGCCAAAACCTATTACATGTGACCCACACAGGAAGAATTTTTATCCCAGGTGTGAACAGATAGGTGTGAATAGATTACCCAAAATGATGTGAAAACTAGGTCTGACTAATGATGTTAAATAAGTTGACTTTAATCCTCAAGGCTGTAGGTTTTCCTGCAAACTTAACTTGAATTTCTGTGGTTTCACTTTGCAGCCATGGTTCAGCTACGTCCCTTTCTAATACATATGGTCTACGGTTTTGAACAAGAATATTCAAAAGAATTATATTATGAACAAGAACATTTAAAAAAAAAAGATGAAAATACATTTTTCAAAAATACCCGCCTACATGTGAATTTGGGCTGAACAATAACATCATTAGAGGCTCCCCTAATCCCATAATTAATCCAAGACACAGTGACATGAACATACACACCCTTGTGTGTTCACACCCTCCACATAAGCACAACTCTGCCTATGCTGACCCAGTGACCGATTTCACTGTTACCATAGTAACACACAGCCTCATAGCGGAAGTTGTCATGGAAAGGAAGTCGATCTCAGAAGCCGTCACTCAGTGACATATTATATTTAAACGGTGTGTGTGTGTGTGTAGTTATCTGTGATTTTAGTTCCACTTTTTTGCCAGTGAAGCCCTTGATTGGAGGAGGTCTTTAGGAGCCAGAGGAGGGGAGTGTAATTTCCTCACAGCCTCTGCCAGTTCCGCTGAAATAACAGCCGAGGAAGCCCAGCTCTCCCGGGAGAAGACACGTGAACACACACACCACACACAGCAAACAGGCGAGCCAGTCAGCCATGGTGATTACAAATCATTACAAAAATGCACAGGAAAACACAGCTACAGAGCCGAACACAGACAAACACACGAACAAACAGAGCTGTGCATGACCACGCACGAATGACTGTTGTGTTATGAAAAATGATGTGATTCAGCAGCTTCAAACAGCCTCAAAGTGTCCCACTAACAGCTGAAGCTAAAACGATAGCGAAATCACTTGAGTGCCGTAATAACAGGTCAAACTGAGCGGCTTCCTCGCTCTGACATCTCATCATTAACGGCACATCACTCATAAACTGTTTTCATTTCAGACTGTGGGCGAACACTATTCAAATTCCAGACCGTTGAGTGTGGGAACGGTTCGCTTTATGTCGTGTCGTTATAAACAGCTTGTGTCTGGGGCCGACATAGCAAATTAACTTCCATGAGACCAGAGCAGGCAGGTGAAATGTCTCTCCACCAGCTGCTGCACCTTTTTTATGATCGCTTCCCTCATGCCTATAGCAAAACAAGATCACTCAAAGTTCAGCCGTCAAACTTTCAAAATAAATGTCTGCATGAGGTAATTTGTGTCAGTAGGCAGGCTTGTAGTGTGTGTGCGTGCGTGCGTGTGTGACTGTGTGCGGAAGAGAGAGTGTGAGAGGGAGCTCATCAGTGAAGGAGTGCTGGCTGCCATGCCCTGAGGGGAGTCAGCGGGGAGAGAGAGGAGACGCCAGTACAGGCCATACAAGTCCCGCTGCCTTCCCTCCTCCGCCTAACCCTCACTGCCTTTTACAGAGCTGCCAACAGTCATCGCCTCTGTGTGTTTGTGCGTGTGTGTCACTGTGGGTTTTTTTGTGGCTCAGGATTCAGTCTTCACCAGCACCACACAAGGCAAAGCAGAAGGAGAGCCGGCTACACCACCACCAAGCCTTTATGCTCTCCTAGATCTGCTTACGTCAGTAACGAAGTTTTACTCAGTTACGGCTATAATTGAAGTGAAACTGTACAAGCCCTTGCAAGACAGAAACCAACCACTCTGATATCTATAATAAGCTCAAACTCTTAAATCCTTCACTAAAATCTAAGACCCGAGCTTCTCTGCTCTGTACCTTCACTGCCCCAAAGCTTCCTGAGGTAATTTGTCTTGGCTGAACCCTGTGTTAAAGTACTTTTTTTTTTATTATCGTTGTTATTTTTTGGCTGTGAAAAATGTTTCCCCGTTTACCTGCATTACTCAAACACCTCCGGCTTAAACCACCTTGGCCTTGCGTGCCTCGCACACAATAATCAGCAGTAGCCACGCTCGGTAGCTCGCTAAGCCTCTTACACCCTTACCTCAAGATTAGTGCTTGGGAGACGACGACAGATGCGCTTCGTGGTGATAAAAACACAAGCACGCCAACACACACACACACACCCACCCACATACACACACACACACACACACTAACAACCTGTGTGAACAGATTTGGCGACAGTGAGCCGGCAGCGTGCTTGCTCATAACTGACACAAACACAGAGACGCCGAGCACTGATGCTGTCTTCGTGACACACCTGCAAGGCCCGGAGGTTTGGCATGGTGCCCCTGGCCGAGCCCCGAGGGAACCACAAGACAAACAAAAGTTCAACAGCCAGGTGAAGAGGCTGATTTAACAAGAGCGTAAGAGCAAGGCAACCAGCGACACCTTATGTGGAGCAGCCATGTTGAACATTTCAAAGCAGGTGAATAAAAGGGCTCTTTGATACTCAGGCGTCTGGGAGTGGAAGTGATATTCATGCTGTGTTACATTATCATCAAAGATGACATGTGTGTCTGCCCGGAGGAACTTCATCGTCAAGGTTACGAAGAGAAATAAGACTTCACTACAGTAGTAACACACACTTACAGCTATTGGTTCAGCCTGTACACCAAGGGTGTCCCAACCTTTTCTCTAGATGGGCAGACTTTACCACGTGAAAATGACTGCAGGCCAACTGCTCCTACTTTTCAGTACTAGAAAAGTCACATACTCATTCAAGTTAAGTTAACCTAAATCCAAGTAAACCCGTTTTAGAAAGAATTTTTTTTATTTTATCTCTCAAATTTTATTTAGCATTTCAGTCAGATAAGGGCAGCAATACCTAGAAAACCCCAATTTTACAAAACTAGTTACAATTTGCTAATCACTCCTCACTTCCGTAACACCAGAAGCTAGTGTAAAAAGTTGGTCAAGATTAGCCAGTTAGCTAAGTCTTGAGGTTAACAGACAAGTCAAAATATTAGTTTAAATATTACTTAAAGTAATCCAGAAAAATGAGTCACATGACAAACATTATTTAATAATAACTGTAGGTTACGTGGTTAAAATTATATATGAGCTGATTTGCCCTACATGGAGACATGCTTGATTACTTATATCGATAAGAGCACATCCTGAAACTCCTGTCAAAAATGCTATCAGTCAATGTCCTTTCTTTAAGAAAGAAGTGACCGACCACATAAGATACATTTTCAATTGTCATAATCAGCCCTCGAGCCAGACTTTGAACATATTCTTTGTACAAGGTCAAATATGGGGCAGAATGTATGAAATGGCCATTTACACAATTACTTTCTAGAACTTTCACAGTCACCAGTTAAAAAATAACCACTAAATCACACGTTTGTCCAAAAAAATGTATGATACGAGTATGAAAGAGAGGAAGTTTCATATTTTTTAAACTGGATTAAGTTTTTTCATATCCAGAGTAAAGTTGTCAAGGTTACTACAACTTTTAATAAACCACAAATTAATCTGTTTAATTAAAAACTATAAATTATAGTGTTGTGTGCAACAGAAGGAAAACTAATTAAAACTAAAATAATAAATACATAAAATGACATGATTAATGGCTTCTCGTTTATGTCTGAGACACACTGAGGTAAAGAACTGATGACATAAACATCGTCTCTGTGTTGGTCCTACTTTTATGCACAGTTGACATGTACTTACAGAAAACTATTGATCCCGTAGGGACTAACAAAGCCCATATCCAAAGTAAAACCAACTTCACAAAGTAAAACTCTCCATTTAAGTAGGGTGTTAATTATATCTCAAAACCTTTCAATAAGAAAAACAAAACCCAACAACTTTGCTGGAGTAGGTACTGTTTTAGACGCCATTGGTAACACGGTGCTCTACAACTACTGACATCACTCAGCTCTGATAACCCCGCATATTTTAACCCTTCACATCAACATTTAAACTCCCAAAATGTAAAGGTTTGTCATGATCAAGTGCAGCAGCAGCAGAGACACAGCACATGAACTGTTCTTACCACTGGAGATGAAATTCTACAGCCAGGACAGTCGCAGATGGGGGGGTGCACCTGTAAGATTCCTTTGGACATAAGAGTCTTCAGACTTTTACCTGGAATAAAAAATATAACAAAAAGAAACTTTAAGCAAACCTGAAATTTTGATTTCTTTTCAAACACAGCTAACGCATCTTCTCCGATAGCTTAGCGATGCATGGGACGGGGCATGGTTTTCCAGGACATCATCTTCAGACACAAAGTTTTACAGCAGATTAACAGAGAATACAATCTAAGACTCACTGTCTGAACTGGTGGGACTCTACATGGTTCAAATCTAGTCCAACCTGAGTGATGGAGACAGAGAGACAGCAGCCCACCGTCACATGTCTTTAGGAATCAGTATATTAACCTTTAAGATTGTCTCCTTTTGACCTGGGGGTGACACCCTCCCTCCCCACATCTCAAGTCGAATCAAATCTGCTCGAATCAACTCAGGGCGTCAGGTGTAATTAAAGTGCCACAGCTGTGTGCAGTGGATGTCAACATGTGAAATACATCATACACAATGTCCATCTGTTTTTTGGTAGTTTAGTTCCTTAAAGAAATCCTCACAAAGTGTGAATCCCTAATCTGAAGCAGAAATATGACATTGGCTTCAATCTGAATCTCTGAATAAAACAAACCACATTTCCACCAAAAACAATGGTAATGCTACTACAGATACGCACACACGCAGCACCCAAAGACACAATCCACCCCATAAAGACCATAAACAACTTTACTGTCTGTTACTGACCTACGTCCAACTTCACTCCAGTTCAGCAGCGGTGCGGTCTGCTCCACATGCCTACCGATCGCAGCCCAAACTCTGTGTCCCAGCCTTGGCTTGTGTGTGCATGTGTTTGCGTGTATGAGTGTGTCTCTCTCCCGTCTCCTTGCGCACTGACTACTGTAACCCTTTCACTCCGAAACACAGCACCAGACCACCAGACCTGACCCAAGTTTGTGCCCGGAAACAAGCGTGTAAACCACGGACACCGGTGCGCCCTGTGAGCAGCTCCCTCTTACCTTTGTGTCGTATGCTCCGTTTCCAGTCTTTGGCAGTCTCTCGTCCACTGACAAACTGGAACTCATTGGGGGTGAGCCACTCGCCTCTGTATTTAATTGAAGGTCCTTTACTGCCTTGACACAGTTTATTGATATAAAGTAGAGCCTTGTTTTCTCCGCACTCCACCTCGATGCACGGCTCCCCGTTGTCGAAGAACGGCTGGAAGTCGGGGATGGAGGAGAACCTCTCCAGCATCAAGTCGTCCGTGTGATGGTGGAGATGCTGGTGATGATGCAGCGCCGTGGAGTCGTGGAGCCCCAAGTAGGCGCGATGATGGGCGAAAATGTGGTCGTAGGGCGGCGGATGAGGGGTCACCACGGGGATGGCGGCGGCATTTAAAGGGGCCAGGTATTCGGACTGGTTGAAGGCGGTCAGTGCCATGTCATCTCCATCCAGCCGCTCCTTCTTGATGGCAGGCATGATCGTGGCTGGAGCCGAGCGCCGACGAGAACAAGTGAGGAGCTGCTCGCCCGATCCAACTTGAGCGTCCTGTCCGTCTGTGAGTTGGGCTGAGCCAGACTTCGAGACGCAGCGCTTGGTTTTACGCAGCAGAGCCCCCGCGTCGCCGTCAGACAGCGGTGTGTTGAAGTTGCCGGATAGATTCCCATTCAGTAGTTTGCAGCTCGCAGCGGCAGCAGCGCTCTCTGCCAGCCTCACTGATTCTACCTCCCACATTTAATCACACTGGCTCTGCTCATACCTGACAGGCTGCTGCTGCGGCGCCCCGGACATCACCAGACCTCATCTCCATCTCTGTTTGTAACATTTAAAGTAAGACTCCCCCACCTCCCCCTCCTCAATATCCACTAATTAGAAGCTCAAAATGAATCTGGTTTTAATTCGATTTTATCACAACGCTCACAGACTCACTTGTGAGGAGTTTACACGTGGCCAGGATATAGTTTCCCAGCCAAAAAGTTATTTATAAAAAAATTAAAACCATATTCCTACTGACAATTAAACTAGTGTGACATATGGTATTAATCAAAAACCGGGGCTATAAACCAAACACAGCAGACTTATCAGATGTCCGCAGTATTTGTTCCACACTGATACTGTTGAAGGTTTGTAAAGAGTTGGTTTGGTGTCGCTGAAGTTCACAGACTCAGACCAGAGATTTGCAGTCTCTCTCTCTCTCTCTCTCTCTCTCTCTCTATGACTCTCTGCCTCTATGACTCTCTGCCGCCTCTCAAACTTGGCCCATTTAAACAGCGGAGGCTCGGCAGAAACCTGAGGACAGCAGGGGGGACGCTGAGGGACGACCGTCCTTGCTGTAGCACACGCCACACAGCAGTAACCATCAGAAAGGAAGTCACACACGCGTACAGCCCGGCAGCTCCATCTAAACCTCGTGACAGCAGCTATTTTTGTTATATCCCTTTCTCTAACCTTCGTTTTTACCTGGGGGATTACACTGAGACTGAAGTCTCTTTATGTGACTATAAAGTTATAAATATATAATATTAATGTTGTAATATTACAATTAAAATGGTGTTAGTTTACAGGAATCCAGTCGCAGGTTTATGAGAAAAGTTGTACTGAACTGAACTAAAATAAAAAGTCGTAATACTACATGAGAGTGAAAACACAACAATATACAACAATATATTAGAATAAAGTTATAATGGTATAAGATAAAAATATGTCAGATTATAAAATAGTAATATATTAATAAGAATAAATTCACAATATAACTAAATAACTATACGATGCAATCGAACCAGAGACAGACTGTTTCTCCAAGTCCATGTAGTTCATTTTATGCAACACATATAAAAAAATTAAGTAACTTTATTTAATTCATCCTGTAAATAACCATGACATGGTTGGCTAATATCAGCTAGCTAAGTTAGTTTCAAATTGTTAGCAGGTTAGCTTGGAATAAGCCAAGGTTCACCACTGCTACAGAGTTAGAAAATAATTTCAGAACTTGGTGAATTACTTCCTGGTGAAATGACATTACATCTGACCTTTATCTGCAGAGTACAGAGACAGAGCCTGGATTGACACGTCATAGGCCACCAGCAGATCTACCCATGACATCATGCCACCGGTCTGCACACTGGGTGTTTTATTCTCTCTCACGTCTAAAATAAACCACCTATTTGTTCTACACCACCTACAGTGACACTAACTCGCCCTCACTCACACCACAGAGACTCACCTGCTGCAGTCACTTTGGTCAGCCATGTTGAAGCTGCTCTAATGCATGAAAAGACCTTGTTTTACATAAATAAATAAAACCTTTTTGTTATATTTAAGGTTTAACTTCACAGAAAGGTTGAAATATTTTTTTTCCTTAATGTGAATCAGGTGTAGTTTTCTAAGCCTTCTTTTCAAAACATCCCCACAGCATTAAAGATTAAACTCTGTGTTTTCACCTTCATTATTTGATCAACAATAAAGATAGGTATAAAAAAATAAATTCTGACAGTTTAGATGACTAGGGCCATACAATGAAAGATGGTGAGTGCTCTTGCCTCAGAACATGAAGATCATCAGTTTGCTACAGCGCGGTAACTGATGGTATTTCTGTATGAAGTAGGCTTGTTCACTAGCCATTGACCACAGGCGTGAACACGAGTGTAAATGGTTGTTTTGTTGTGTAATATGACCCTGACTATCATGAACTGGTGAACTGTCCGGGGTGTAACCCCCACCCTGCCAATAACTGCTTGGATTTGCTCCAGCTCCTCCAGGGAACATGAAAAGAATGAAGTGGTAGAAAACAAATGTTGAATGAATAAACGACTCGCTCAGGTTTATGTTACCTCATGTTGTTTCTTTTGTTTGAACCCTAGTTTTTATTTTCTCCATTCAATCTTCAGAACATGTTCCCTTTTGAGATCCTGAAGCTGCAGAGCGAGGACACATCTGACCCCCATCAGTGGAGAACCACCCAGGTGGATCCACCACAACACATGGAATAGCCATTCCAGCATTAGAGGCGGGGTCCAAAGTGCTGTGTGTTAGGGGCCTATAAATCAGCCCAAACTGACTCTGACACACACACACACAGAGGAGTTGAGCCACACCACAGACGGAAGCGGTGCTCGGAGCGGCCAGAGACCACAGCCTGGCCAGAACTACTGTTAAACCTACAGCCAACACTGGGCAAACATACAGCAGACGTTTACAAAAACATATGCCAGCAGCGTCACCACAGATGATAACTGAGAACACCTTGATACTTTACCCTGTTGGAGCTGAAGAGCAGGACTGTTAGAAGGAAATTCATTTTGTAATTCTTCGGACATCCACCTTTACAGGGAACACAGACAAGTAGAAAAAACAATGAAAAACAAGATTTTTCGTTATGTCACTTGCTAAATGCTGGTAAGGACACAGAGTAGTAGCACTGACATAAATCATGAGCCGCTGACATTTGTGGTGTATGTTTACAAAACCTTATTCTAGGAAGTGGAACGCAATGTTTCAAAAGAGAAACTATTTGATTGTCTCTTCGTGAAACACATGGAAACCTGTGGATGGAAATGTTGTTGATGGCTGTGTGGGCGCTGAAAGTTGCAGCGTCGGGAGAGCCCTGGTGAAACCGTCAGTCATAGAGGGGACCCCATGCCCACTCCTACACCCACGGCCTGTGTCTGAGTGTGTGACTCACACCTGATGGCTCATCGCGGAGTGATTCCCCAAAGTTGTATGCTGACGACACCTCGACTTTCACATCTGTAGAGATTGTCTTTTGCTAACTGAGTAAAATTTTCCATCAGCCCTTCAGTCATAGTCTGAAAAATATCTGATGTGATGGTAAAACCTCATTTGACCTTTTCTTCAGCTAGTGTTTTTGCCTTTACTGCGTAGTAACAAATAGAAACCCATTCAATTCAGTACATTTGATGTTGACAATCGACCTAAAGAACAAAGTTGGATGTTACAGTTTTGTCCCTATAAAATATGTTTCCATGTTATTTATGCTTACTTTTAATGTTACTAGTTACACTTAGTTATGTATTTTCCATAATTATGCTATTAAAAATCAATTTCAGTCACCTTAATAAAATAGTAAAAACCTTTTCTGTTGGTTATTATATTTTAGTATTTGACACATTAAATACTTTCTGTTTACTTTGTCCTTTTCTGTTAACTTTTTGTGTTTATGCTAACCTTGAGTTAAGCTTTGGTTAATTGTGTTTTTGTATTCGGCTAGTACTGTTAGCAAGTTAGCCAGTTCTGAGAGAGGTAGTTAGTTACTTGACATGCTCTGCGTGATAAACAGAGAAAAGTTTAATAGAAGTCAGGTGATAGTAATGTAACTTAGCTAAGATTCTGTTAAGAAATAAATGTTGAGGGTTCTAAAAGCAAAGCTTTGCCTAGCTTCAAGTATCATGATTAATACATACAAGAGATTGTTAATCAGGCCCTTTTTTAATAGGGCATTGTTGGAGGTGTACAGCCCTATAGAACAAGAGAGATTGTGTCATTTTTTTATTGTATCCATTTTCTAGGGTTACACTGTTGCTTCTTGATGTTTTTAATTTTACTCTTTGTTCCTAGGCTTTAGCTTTATTATATCCACATGACTCAGCAGCTAAATCAATTGTATTGTATACAACTTTTAAATACTGACAGCAGACTCGTCTGCTCATCACCTCCCTGTTCAAAACAGGATGTATATGTAGAGAAATCACATTATCTGGGAGTGTGATTCCAATGTAGCATTGTTTACTCTTAAGGTAATAATTCAGGCTAACATGCTATTCTACTGCACGGTTTCAATCAGACAAACAGTTAATATGTTTTTCCTATTGTCACAACAACCTCTTTAGTCATAAGATTAGTTTTGACAATGCAAGTAATCACTGAACCATTTCAATGATCCTGTTTATCTGCTGTACATGTAATTGTTTAATCACTTTAGCACCAAAGGTGACACAAGGTGTGTTAATGTGTGACTGCCTTTAGTTTTACAGTAAGAGAAGAACCTGATATATAGTTCAACTGCACAACAGGAATCAGACAGTAGTACCTCTGGACTTCTGCCATCAGTCATATGTTTGCAAACCATAAATGATGTTTGCTGAAAACGTCTAGCAGGGTTACTTGGCCATGTAATGAGGCACAAACTCTCTCCTTCCTCATGCGTGTTCTCCCTTCTCTCTCTTCCTCTGACCGTCAGGCAGAAACCCCCCTCCCCCGGCCCCCGCCTCTGCTGGTTGTTGGCAGCAGCCCCGGAGCCGCAGCACTGCCGGCGGGGGAGAGAGGTAATAAATAACCCGGGGAGAGGAGCGGAGACCGCCGGGCGGTGCACAGTCTGACCTGACAAATACTCACTGGAAAACCATCAGAGAGCCAGAGCCCACCCCAAGTGCTTGGAGCCAGCCTTTCAGACATGAGCTGCAAAATATATAGGCCTGCCCCTGCTGGAAAAAAGAAAGGAAGACAAGCAGAAAAGTCTCCCTCTTCTCCCCCTCTCCCTCCTCCGCTGTCTCCCCCTCCATCCACACCCAGACAGCGTCGTAGACACGGCGAGAGTAATTAACTATTTAAAGCAGAGTATGAGTTTCTGCAGAAAGCAAGGCCAGGCCTACACAGGAAGGGAGAACACAGAAAAGAAGTTAAAAAAGAAAAGCAACAAGTAACTTTTTTAACATGGAGTTGAGCCAAGACGTGGAGAACTAGGAGCATCTCAACATGTTTTCACAGAAATGTGACTGTTCAAACCATAGACAGTATATAGGAAATGGACAGATGGACGGCGCTATCTTGGAAAATAAATGCTCTACTGGTTTGGTACTATTTTTAACAACCTTAATACTTTTCCAGATGATCTTTAGCTCCTTATTACCGCTGTGGTGTTTTTAACACAAAAACATGATGTTGTTTTGATTTGATATGAAAAGATAACGAGGAAAAAGACTGACCAGAGAGTCCAAAAATAATTTGCTTTATTGTCTTACAGCTAAATTTGTTTAGTCTGCCACCACGTCATACATGGCTTGTGACCTGGGATTAGTATTTTCAAAAATCAACTGTGTTATATAGTTCAATTTAAAGTCATTATAATGAAAATGTTAGGGTCAACACTACACATTTTACCTCTAAATCCATGACTCTTTGAACCCACCTTTTCCTTCTGTACCTTTTGTTCCACCAATCTGTGTTATTTTGCTCAATAAAA